GAAGGCTGAGCTCTGCAAGGGACAGTAGCAGTTACACGACACTAATGCCACCAGTATCTGCTGCGAGGGCCGGCATATTGTTGATTGCACTCTGAAAGCTTTTCAGCATTCACAGTTGATGTTATAAACTTCTTATGAAAGTTCTTGAATTCAACAGCAGTGTACAATCGACTCTATTTTTATTTTAACCCCAAAGGAAAGGGGGAGGAAAAAGGGAGGGATAGGACTCAGACCCTACCAGCACAGGCAAGGTGTGACGAATGGATATTCTATTACAAAAGAAACAACCCACCTTAACGAAAAATACAATTTGATTTTTGAGGTAGTAGAATTGAACCCTTTATTTTTAAAAGTTAGAGGGGCAGCTTATATAGAACAACGGCTTTATTTACTTTTGAACCAGGCATTACTCTCAGTGTTTTACACACATAGAGTCAGCTAATTCATATGGTCATCCTATGAAGTAAATGCTATTTCCATTTTACAGCCAGGAAATGGAGGTTCATCTGAGGAAGTTGCTCAAGGTCACCTAGTGGCGAACGGCAGGAGTTTTGGCACTCAAGTGCACAATGGCTTAGGCCAGTGGGTGTTCATCTTTCTGGCATTACTTCCTAACCCTAACGCTAAGTTTTAAGTGACATTTCAGCACAAACCAGAGAAACATTCCAGGACACACAATCCCATGTCAAAATACATCGCAACAAACCTGCTGTATCTCCAAAACGAGCAGAGAGATGATGGGGAGCCAGCAAGGATCTTGGGCAACTCACAGGCATTAGAATCAGGTGGCTCTGGCTTCGAATCCCTGCTCCACCTGCTCCCAGCTCTGCAGCCCTGAGTGCATTAACCTTTCTAGACTGTTTCTACCTCCAGAGTGGAGATAACACAATTTCTATTTTGCAGGACTGTCTGAAGATGAAGAGAGCATTTCATTTGATCTTCACTAGCACCTCTCTCAGAGCATCTACCATTATTTAACCATCACATTTTACCACACTGTCCCATCTCTGTGTATGGTGAAACGTGGAGAACCAACCTGAGCATCTGGCCTCTCTCTGCCTGGCCCCTCTGTTTCAAAGGCTTAGCTTCAGTTCCAACTACTGCTGCCAGTCTTTTCCTGAAAGGTCTCCATTTCTCTTTGGAGATCAGTGCTACCTAAAAGTATCCTTCCATGGCACCCCAATGAGTTAAGCAGTCCATGACCCCAAATCACTATATAATTAAAGTAATTCCCAGGGAAGGGAAAATATCCTTAACTCATCTAGGTGGGCTGTGTGTTAAGAGTCGGTTTCCTAGGATGACTGGCAGAGACACCCCGACACACATTTTTCACACCTGCCACGCCCTCCAGGATCATTCAACAAGACCCCAGTTCCAACAGAAGAAGTCAGTTCCCAGCAGGCCTTGAGAGGACACAAACCCCTTGAGGAACACAGAATCCGCCTTCGGCATTGTCCCATTTTTCTTCCTGCAGTTCTTTTCCCAGCTTCAGGGCTGCCCCTTCCGATTTGTGGGAAAGATTTTTTAAAAGTTTAATTCTTATCATGTACTTTGCATTTCTAATCATCTCAATGAAAAGAGGTAATTAAATTTCAAGGATAGATGCTTAGTCCCCAGTTTTCCATAACTACGATGCCTCCAGTTCCATAGTTTCAGTTGGATAGTAATTTGCCTTTATTCAGATAGTCATGGAGCCCTCCCTTGGTGTAGGTAAGTATGGTGAGTACACTTAGCCTTGAGGATGCCTAAGGTGGGTATTTCATCTCCAACTCAATTTTCTCTGAGGCTGGCCTTCGCAGCTGGGCGTCTCTCCTTCCACAGTCGAAATACATCACTCACTACACATGAGCCTCAACTCAGCACAGGCACTACCAGGCAGAGAAGTGGGCCCTTCTAGAGTGGTTCACTTGACCTGACTTTTAGTAGCTGGTTGTCTTTCCTGCTTCTTGGGCCTTCAATTTGTTATCTTTCATCTCCTTTCATTCCCCTAATTTTAGTACAGGGTTTTACTTATTCTTTTTTAATAGTACAAAGGGGTATATTGAAAGAAAAGATGTACAAACACTCAATCCAGTTAACATTTCTTCAAAAAATAAAAATCTAAGAATGCGCACAAGCTTCGTTTGAAAGTTTTAAGTGACATTTCAAACTAAGACACAAAATTGTAAGGTTAAATTTTGAATTGTAAGCAAATAATCAAATTGGGGTTTGGCAGTAGAGAAAAACCAATCAGCAAATAACTGATTATCCTATTTACACTTAAATTCTATTAACTGTTTCTTTAAATTCTGCTTTGAAGTACAAGTCATTATTAGAAATTAATAAATTGAACTGATCTGGGTTTCTCCATGAAGAGGCTGAATTGGACACCACTCATACTCCAACATCCTTTATCAAAACCGTCAGAATAAAGTAACTAGCATTAGAAATGAAAAAATAATCCCAGACAGAAATTAAAATTTTGACTCAGGGTAGCAATGAGGGTCTGATATTACGGTAAAACTTGAGAATGTTTAAATGAAGATGTGCTTTTTACCTATAATGAAAATTAGCTAATGAAAATGTCTTTCACTTTCATTAAATTAACCCAAAATGTCTTACCAATGATATACTTCTCAAGAGATCAAAGAAAAAATGTGTAAGATTTTTTTAAAAGGTGACCTATTTAAAAGTGATGGAGCTTATTTTAAACCTAGTGATAAATATGCTAAGTGTAGTATCTGCAAAATTTAACGTGTCTACCCTACTGGGTTCTAAGGAAGCAAATTGCAGAAGCAGAATTTCTTTTAGAGAGCTGCTTGGCAAAATCAGCACTGCTCCCTTCTGCTATCCTTCCCCACAAAAGTTAGCTTTAGGGCTAATAAGAATAATACAAACACAAATAGTTCTTTAAGAAAGCCCCTGTGTGTTCCTTTTTCATCAGATAAATCCCTTGTGTAATGAGCTACTGACCTATTGTGAACTTCCACAGAGAATGTTGATCCATTGCTAAAATCTTATGAAAAACACAAAAGGAACACAGAAATAAAAACTCTTAAATTTTAAAGGGAAAGGAAAAAGTTTTCTAATTCTGAATATGGTAGAGAAAAAAAGAGTTCATTCTCTAAATTAAACACTGGAATTCACTTTTTAAAATGCAAAATGAATAATCATGGATGTGCACAGGGATATAGCTAGAAGGATATTTAATGCAAAGTTGCTTAAAATAGTGAAAACTGGAAACTAACTGCCCAACAATAGGGAATTGGTTAAGTCGAGATGCACACATATAACAGAAGACTATAAATGATGTATGAGTATTTTAGTGATATAAAGATATACATATTTGAGTGAAAAAAAAAAGTAAATTAAAACAGTATGTAGAGAATGGGCCCAGTTTCGTAGAGAATCACTTTCTGCCTGTGCAACTTCAGGAAAGTTACTTAAGTTCTCTAAGTCAGTTTTCTCCTCAACAGAAAGGAAATAATCATAGCACATACCTCATAGGGCTAGAGTGAGGATTACAGGAAATTTTGTGAATAAAGCAGCTGGCACAGTGCCTGGCCAATAGTAAGCTCACTACATGTTAGGTCTTTGAGTTATATGTTCATGGGGTGAAAAAGAATTTGAGGATATAGCATTAAGTGATTTTCCAGGAGCTGGCTAATTTGACTTGCATATTTTAACTTCTACAAATATCATACTACCCATGATAGGGTAAGTATTAATAAATTAGAATATTCGCACATAGTAATTATTCTCTTAAAAATCTACCATAGTGCTTTGCTCACAATAAAAAAATCTTGGTTGAGCTGAATTTACTCTTCTGGTTTCATTTAATCAAGTTTGCTCTGGAATGTTTAAAATTATTTAACTTAATGGCTAAATCTGTTTATAATATTTTTATCGGGCAAAGCTTTACATTGCTCAACCTCATAAGAATTTAAGAGCCCCAATTCAAGACCATTAGAATGCCACTATATCTTCCATTATCAGTGGGAGGAATCACTTGTTTCTTTCCAGCTCCCCACCCTTCTCCTTTTTGACTCTTTTCCTTTCCATAATCACAACCTAGGAGCTCTCTACAGGACTGTAAGCTTCAAGGGCAGTAACAGTGTCTCCTTGATCTTGGCATCCATAGTACCTAGCATAGTACCTAAAGTAGTAGCTGCTCACTACATGTTCACCAACTGAATAAATGTCTGATAGTAGTTCAGGATAGAGGCTTCAATTCCCCCGTAAAAGAATTGGATAAAGGTAGATAGCCTAACTCTTTAGTCTAAAACTGTCTGGAATTCTCACTAATTGTTCCTTAAAAAAAAGGAAAAACAAACATCTCACTTCAAAGTCTCGCTTATTTAAAAAGTTCTCACTTATATTCCATTGTCTATTTTAACTGAAGTAAGAGTGTTTCTATTTTTTTTTCCTCTATATTTTGTTTAAAGTCCCACAAGAATCCTAGAGAGTTTAAGTAACTCACTGGAAGTAATACAACTAGTAAGTCACCGCACAAGATAGCCTCAGGACTTCCAGAGGCCAGTGTCCAGAATCTCTCTACAATGGCGCTCTGAAAAAAAAATCTCCCATGACCTTTGGCTCTAAAAGTTGTAGATATGGTAATAACAAACATTTTCAATAACACCTGAGCAAATGCTATGCTTCTTCCAAATATTTCCTAGGGCTTTTATGAGATTACAGAAGAGAAACTGAGGACAGGAGACAACACAAAATGTCCAAGTGTTTCCTTCCAGGTTCATAAGTCAACCAGCTTTACTTAAAAATGAAACTAAAAAAACCAAATTAAATATTAACTCTCTCACACACACACACACACACACACACACACACATACAACTTCGACCAGAAGGCTATGGTGAAGACAGACTATCGTCAATGAGCTATAAAAAATTTTGCACAGCTTGTTTTTTAAAAAGAAAAAAAATGTTAAGGGTCAAGAGAGTTTTCCACACATCCAGTCTTCCTCCAAATTCCAGATTTTCAATTTCAGCCACTGCTCTTACTCTGTTTAAACACAGAATGTCAGTTCCCTTGACGTGAGGTGGTAGCCACCATTGAAATGTTTAACTTCCTGAAGACATCACTTCACATTCCAAGGAACTTGCCAAAGGACTTCACGTGAAAAATCTCAGCCAATCAGCTGTATAAGTAAGAATATTTGTACAAATCAATTGGTTATTACCTAAGCCAGCTGAAACGCACTATTATTTATATATAAATAGTTACACTTTGTGGGGGTCTACTTTGTGCCAGACATTATGATAGGTCTTTTGTGCTTTAATCCTCATTATTATCCTCTGAAGTCGTTATAGTCCAATTTTACTGAATCAGCGTGTTTAATATGACTGAGAACACACCCTTAATAGATGCGACTAGGAGTGAAACCAAGGATTTGAAAAGTTAAGTTTAAAATCAAAATCCACAGTCAACCTAGAGACACTAAACAGATCTCTTCGAAAATTTAAAATACATGTCAAAATGATTTAATATTTAATTTTAAGGTCATATCAGAGCAGGTAAGATTAAACAGAACGGCCAAGATTTATAAATAAAAGATTACTGGACATGAAATTAGAGTTGTTCGAAGACGTAGCCGCGGGTTACTAACAATTACCCGTATCTCAGAAAGATAAACAGGTCTCCTCCCACCTATGTGCGCTGAGTCTTTGCTTCGGAGTAGCTTCTGGACCGCCAAACGCTGAAAGGTTTCAGTGCAGGCTGCCCAGAGCTGGGATATCACTGTTCACACATCATCAGTAAGTGCCTCTCAAAAAGAAAAAGACAGTCCCTCCTCCACTACCTGAACTTCAGCCCTGACCTCCGGAGTGGCTCTGGACAATCTATGGTTTAAAGTGTCCTTTCGACGCCAGGACCGAGTTACCCGAAATGGTTGCAAATGAATGAGCTGAATGCTCGGAGCAAGGAGACTTAAGCCACACATCCATCCTCTATCAGGCAAAAGCAAGGAAAGATGCCGTGGGGCGGGGCGCGTGGGGGCCGATTCAGAGCCACGTCCCGGTTGGCAATCCACCTTCCCCCTCCCCGCGCTTCACAGGACGCGTGTCTTCCCAGCCCATCCTCCTCCCAGCCCCTCCGGGCGCTCCTTACCCGCTGCCAGCTGGGGCTCCAGACGCTCCCAGCCGAAGGCACTAGCTCCTGGCGGAGGATTTGCCAGCGGACGAAGCCCGCTGCCGCAGCCACCCCCACCCCCGGCCGAAGCCGCTAGAAAGTTTACTCGAGATCTGGCCCCCTTGCGCCACGGCCCCGCGTGGGAAGCAGGTCCTCCAGCCCCTCCCGCGGCCGCCGCCCCCGAGGCCGCTCTGGGCGGCGCTGCAGCCCCGTTGGGGATCCGGCGGCCGGGGACGGCCCCTTGCGCGCCGAGGGCGGGGTCTCCCCGCCCCGCTCGGCCCGCGGCGCAGCGCTGGGTGTTTACAACAGCCCCGCGGCCCGCTCTCCCCGCCCTGCGCGCTCCTGACATCATTCATTCTCTCACACCCTCACCCGCCCACTCCATTTCCAAACAGTGACTCACTGCCAGCCCGGTGGCAGCAGCGCCCGCTCCCGCTGCTGTGGTTCTCCAGGCGCAGAGCGGAGCCCGAAAAACCGGTGCGACTTCTTAAGAAAACCCCGGCGGACCCACCCCTTTCCCAGCTATTAAAGGTGCAGGGAAGGAGGGGCTTGGCTGGAGGGCGGATTGGCTCTAGACGGAAAGGCTAAGCGCCGGGGGCAGACCTCCCAGAGCAGTGACAGAGATCAATCTGAGAAAGTTGTTTGGGTGTCACTCTCAGCAACTTTCAAGGGTGGGGCTGGGAGGGGATCCCCCACCCCCGCACCTTGCCTTATTCAGGAGCTGCTTCCTGACGTCGGTGTGAGTGGGCTTGGAGGCACCAGCGGTTGCTCGAAGGGTTTTGCCGGGGCCTCAGTCAGAGAGGTGGGTGTCTAAACCGCAGAGTTGCCTAGCAGGATTACTCATCGGTCCGCACCGTGGCAGCTCTAGGTGTGAGCTGGAAGGGTGCTCCCAGTTAATGAGGCTAATACTTTCCCTTCGGTGACTAACCACCGTGTCATTTGTTCTATTAATTTGCTTCTCTTTGAGGATAAACCGTAACTAAAATAAACAGTGAAAGAGTTGTTCTTTGCTCAACTGAACACTGCGCTTTTCTGCAGTTTGGGGGGCACAAGGCGTTCGTGTGTGGTTTCTTCGATGAGCTCAGCAGTTACGTTTTTAGAAGCGGTATTGCCTTCTTAAAAATGGTCAAGGTTTTACATTTCTTTGAGTTGCTATTCATACACCTGCTGGGCAGCTTTCAAAGTAAGGATGACAGCCTCAAATTCTAACTGGAATGAACCAGAGGGAATTTGGCCAAATCTTTATTGAATTTAATTGACAGAAATGTTTTCTGTTAATTTCTACTTGAGGACAGGTTTGAGATGTGCACTGGCTTATGGGCGATTCCATGTAATCAACAAAAATAATCCAAAGGCATCTCTGGGTGCCTAGTGCAGAAATAATGTGGGTACATAATTATTTGTCTATGGATATTAAAAACAATGGTAACAAGAAAACAAAACAAAACATAGCAGGGCAGTCCCAAAACAGACAGCTCTTTGATGTAACTAGAGAAGTCTCTCCCAAATGAAAATGTTTCTGAAATTAACCAAAGGTTCCACATCATTGTTGTGGAAAATGCACTCAGAACACCAACAATTGAAATTTATTTTCCTTGGGTCTATTTTTTCCTTTCAATAGGGGTTCGTTTTTCATTTTACAAAGCCCAGGCATCTTGCCCAGAAGGCAATAGCAAATGGATTGGTTTGCTAGGATGCAGTCAAAGTAAATGGAAATTCAAACCAACAGTTTTCACAGGCACAGACATAATCAGAAGCTTGGATGTCCTGTCCATGGGTAACACAGAGGGACCAGATTCAAATGTGCAGCCACAGAAAAGTTGGGGGTGAATATCCCCATGCTCCCTACTTTATGACTCAATTATTTGGACATTATGGAGGTATGTGTACATAAGATTTTCTCCAGATCTTAGAAAATGTTGCGGGCTTTTGGGCCAGAGTACATGGATGAAGTATAAAAGATCAAAACAAAGCCTGCCATCCTGTCTGCATTGTTGCATGATATAAATCCTGCAGCTTTACCATAGGATGGTCTCTGTTTGTTTGGGAGGCTTAGTGAGTAGTTTTGAATTTGTGGTTACTACCAGACCCCAGTTTAAATGTAGTGAAATAAATGATTAGGTCATTTTATTATATCGTTTAAATATCCCCCAGTAAATGTAATAGTATAATTGTGATTGAGTTGCATGAAGTTTTTCCGTTCTACTCATTGTTAACGTACAAGAAAGCAAATTATTCATCTTAATTTCTCTTTTGAAAAATAGTGTCTTGTCCATCTCATAGAGGTGATTGCTTTTTAACTATACCTTTTTGTTCTCACAATGTACCAAGTTTACTAAGTCCCTGATTAGTCACCTTCCAAAAATAACAATGTTAAATTCTCTAAGGGAGAGTAAGGGCTGACAGGTATGCTCCTGTCAATTTTATTTGTTGAAACCAATGCATACTGTAAATCAGTTTTACAGATATTTCTTTGGTCTGATAAAACATACTGATTAAGTTAGGAAAACATACGTATCTGTAGTATTTATCTTATAATAACTCCTACTCTGGATGTACCTAAGTCATTCACTCAGTCAACAGATGTTTATTGAGTTCCCACTTTGTGCCCACAATGTTTATCTAAGAATCACCATGTACATCTTCTAAATATATGTCTCAGCAATGGGAAATTTTACTGTTTAAAATTTTTTGCTTAAGGATGTTTATTGCAACATTATTTAAAATTTTTCCAGAATCCAGCATGGTGCACGGCATGTAATTATTGAGTGAGTGAAATAAACAAATGAACAAACTTTAGAGAACAAACCAATAGTGGAGTAACTCCATGTTATGTGATTCTTTGTAGATAATAAAAAAAATAATTCCATAGGCTCTGACTTAGAAAACTCTCCTTGTCAAGTGAAAAATAAAGCAGAGAGAAAATACACACACACACACACACACACACACACGCACCCCATTTTTGTGAAACAAACAGCTCCCTTCT